GAAGCCTGCGAGCACCGGGCGGACCCGGGTGGGTTCTAATGAAGCCTCTAAAAAGCTGCCGAGCTGGGAGCTTACTGGAGGCTACTGGTCAGAGCGTCGGGGAATACCTAACTCTACCTCGTTCCATCAGTGGGTCGCCGACACAGACAGGGAACAACCGTGCCTCGTTTTTCTTTCCACCATAAAATGCCCCCCCCCCCCCCCCCGGTCTTTAGGGCTGTTTTCATCTTTGTTAAAGAGAATATTTAAGATGAGAGTCACAATTTGTACAACAACTCCTAGGAGTTTAAAAACCAAAAAAACTGGACTAATTTTGATTTTTGATGCTGCTGATCCAAGGAGCTCAAAACATCAAACTAGTGTTGCTCATTTATGTGAGCTGAACTCAAACGCAGATTCACTTCCCTACTCTCCCTTCAGAGGGTTTGAGATGGAAACTCCTTGCCGTTCAGTTTAAGTCAAGTTCAGGTTCAAGTTCCTTCATTGTCATTCGCATCTCATGTGGTACATGAGGTGGAACGAAATTATGTAGTCAAGGTCCCAGTTACACCCAAAAGTAGCAAAAATATAAGAAACAGAATATAAGGTCCAAGATATATGCTATATACAATATATATATATATAATACGGTATATTAAACAGCAGCCCGAACAAGAGTCTGTGGTGAACAGATGGGTATGAATGAATACAGCAGCATGAGATCAGCAGCATGGATAATCAGCAGCACAAATAAGTCACATATCACCAATTAAAGTAGCATTACAGAGATTTTTAGGGGTGCACCGATTTCTACAAAGTCTGACCTGCCGATACCGATTTAGTTTTATAAGCGACACTGTCAGGCGTTATAAGGTCAATTTTCCAATATTATTTTATTGAAAAACAGACCCTTGAACAATATTCTAGAAACAATAAACTGGTTTTAACTGGCCATGAGGTAGTGCTTTGAAATATAAATGAAGTTCAAACAATGCTGTTAAACTAAAAAAATGGGTAAAATGGGTTTCTTACGCAAGTATCGGCCGATTTTCCAAAATTAAGAAAATCGGGGGCGATTTATCGGTGCAGCCCTAGTGATTTTATTTTATTTTTTACAGTAATTATCCTGGTTAGGGATTTATGAGCTTCAGGGTAGAAGCTGTTCCTCAGCCTAATGATTCGTGACATCTTCAAAAAATAAAAAAAAGAAAGAAAGAAAAGTCCAGTCGCCTTTTTTTAATTCTCAGCAGAATTTTTAAGAATCTTTAAAAATTAAAATTAAAATCTTTATTAAATGGGACTAAACCTGGATCTCACTCGTCTATGACTGACTGAACTAGTAGAAGAAACACAATCACAAGAAAATACTTTTCACACAAACTTCTGGTGAAATTTGATCCTAAATTTATCAGGAGCTTTGATCTATTGCCAGATCAAATCAGCGCTGCAGGACGACAGAAACTAAACTGAAACATTCCCAAACACACCCGGTGACTGTGAGACCAAGTTGAGAAAAAACCTGCCGTGTAAACATTTCAATTGTGATCCAACATCCTGCAGCTCGAGAACAAGGCCCTGAGGCACGCCCGGGTTAACGGAGAACCCTCCTGGATGTTGAGACATTTTCGATGAAACATGTTTAAAGTTCGTCACCAACAGCTGCAGCTCAGCAACAAACGACCTTGAAATGTTTCATTTATTGAACTTTTACCAAAACTCTGAAAGATCACGGAACATCTGAAGCTCACGAAGATAGTTCTAAAGAAATATTAATATTTAATTCACACATTTAACTCTTGAAGCATTTATGAGTTGAACATTTTATGAACTTTTAACTACTTGATGCAGCTGTTAAGACCCAGAACAGAGAAAATGAACTCTTTAAGGCCAATGAGCCGTGAAGTGTGGGTTGAACCTTTGGTTCTGGTGTTTGGTACCATTTCTCCTACACCACGTGTCCAGATCAGGCTCTAAACCAGACTGGGACCTGTGTTTATTTTATCCCTCTTGAAGTAAACCTAAATGTTTTTGGTGCCAGATATTCAATGGGGAGGAGTTACACCAGAGAACAGAGAGAGAGCTATTTTATCCACCACCAGGAGCAGTGAAGGGGGGTGGCCAGTGGTGGCCTTGGCCCCTATAGATTAACCTTTAGCCACCCCAATCATTTGATGAAACTATATTTTAAGCATGATAAGAACTGGGAAGCACAGTTTCCTGAAATGGTTGTAGTGGCAGGTTTCCATACATGTACGGTGGAGGCCATCTTAGATTTTGGCGTGGCAACACAAAGAATGTTTCCTAGGTCCAGATGCAGCCGCACAACGAAAGGAACATGGTACCGCTCTGACGTTTCACGTTATCGAGCTCTCAACGTGCACGGACCGACTGATGATTCCAATTGTTCCTCTTTGCTCCACGACGAGGGACAAAACGTCAAATTTGACATTTTTCCACATTGTTGTTGTAGTTTCTTTGATCTCGTTGCTTTATGTGTAAACTGGGATTGCTCCAGTTCGGTTCGGCAGCTCGTGCAAACGACAGCTAACAACTGGTCCTCACTTCTTGTTCTTTTATATTAAAAAACAATCTGAGTAGGTTTTGTCCGGCAACACGCTCAGATTGTGGGTTTTGTTTAAAGAAGTTGCCGTTAATCGAGCAGCAACTTGAAGCCGTTGGAGGTTCCTCCTGGTCCTGTCCTCGGCTCCTGATCAGAACGGACCAGCTGATCGAAGCTCTGTAAATCAGAGCTCGTGTTTCTCTCCATCAGAGCTGCTCAGAAGGAAAAACGTGAAAAACGTCGACACGTTTTTCACAACTCGCGTCCCGTTTCAACTCCAGGGCTCCTGCGGGGGTGGGGGGGCTTCATGAACGGCTGAGAGGATCAGAGCACCACACAGAACGAGGGGGGGTAGCTCATCTGGAAGTTACCCCAGCAGGTCCTCGGAGCTCCAACACCGAGCGTGGTTACATTAACCAGTGGGTTTCCAGGGCCCGATGGGCTAGTGTGGGTCGGGGGGGGGGGGGGGGGGTCCAGGGCTTTAGACCAGGACCTGGACTTTATTTTACCTCTTGGGACTGAAGACATGAATGAAGAAAAAGGACCGAGTCGTTTAGAGTTACTCATTTATTTGGGCTCCATTCTGCGGTGGACAAAGCCCAGGCGGGGTGCCGTGCCGGAGCCGTCACCGGGCCCCCACGGCTGCGGTGCTGCCCCGTTTCTGACCCGGACAACGGCCCCCTCTGTGCTGCTTAACCCGCGACCCGCCTGCTAACTGTCCAGTGTGTGACCTCAGCATGTGTGGATCTCTCACAGGGCCCGGGAGCCCGCTGGGTCTTGGCTGCTGCTGAAGTACCACTGTGTGCCCCCTCCCTGATTGTCCTCCCCAGCATGGGATGGGAAGAGGCAGGGGGAGGCGGGGGGGGGGGCAGCATGGCAACCAGACTTGGAAGACAGGAGCCATTTGAAGGCCAAAACTGGATAAACAGAGTTCAGGCTGGGAGCGAGACGGAGCCGCTATCAGACCCGGATATCAGTCATCGGAGCGACTACCACAACATTTACATTCACACACACACACACTCCCTGACACACACACACACACACATGCACACAGCCTCAGGGTCACACACCCAGCTGCCTCCGTGTGTTTAGACTGTGACAGTTTTCATCTCTGAGCAGAGAAAATGATTCATTTGAATAAATTTGTTTTTAGACGTTTTATTAAAGAAAGAAAAAAAAAAACGTCCCCGAATGAACTTCAAACTGACTAAAGTCCCGAATAAATAAATAAATAAATAAATATCTGCAAATAAAAATCAATTTTAAAATCTGGTTAAACAAAATCTTTAAAATTTAACTAAATCTGCGTTGAATAAAACGATTGACGGAAACTTAGTTGGTCAACTTTTTGAGGCAACCAGGTGATTTCTGAAAGTTTGACACTGGTCCACCTGTCCTCAGTTGTCCTCTTGTGGACATGTACAGGAAGGTTGTCTCCAGTCCTGTGGACCTTTAACAGCCAGAGTGTTCCACACCATGACACCAAACAGCCCTGTGACTACCTGTCACCCAAACAGACTGGAGGACACCAGGACCTGACTGGAGGACACCAGGACCTGACTGGAGGACACCAGGACCTGACTGGAGGACACCAGGACCTGACTGGAGGACACCAGGACCTGACTGGAGGACACCGGGACCTGACTGGAGGACACCAGGACCTGACTGGAGGACACCACCAGGACCTGACTGGAGGACATCACCAGGACCTGACTGGAGGACACCCGAGTCCAACTCGTCCCTGTGGACAGGTCCGTTTCACCAGTTTAAAAACTAAATTTAGATGTTTGTTAAATTCGTTATTGCAGCATCTTTGTGGTTTTTTCTTTCTTTAACTGAAATTGTTTAATTTGAGTTAAACTGGAGAGCAACACGCACGCGCACACGCAGCCTTAAGTTCCAGCTGCAGGTAAACCGGATGTTGTTTTGTGTACAAATAAGTGGATTTGTGTAAACAAAGCAGGTTCTGGTGTCGGTGGACACACGTGAGACCTCAGAGGTTCTTCTGGACCGTCAGCAGAACCAGCCGGTTCTGATCACACTCTGGACCCAGAAATGTTCCCAGCACGTTTCATTCAAACCCAGACCCAGATCCCGGTTTGAGGACTTACTTGGGGTTGGTCCGGTTCCAGAAGACCGCGTATCGGTCCGACACCACCTTGGACCCCGGGTCCTGTCCGCGCGCGCACATCCCAATGAGGACCAGGACCAGGACGGTCCCCACCTGCGGCATGTCGGGTCCGGACTCGGTTCGGATTCAGAGGTTCGGACGCTTTTATCTCCCTTCAGCTTGAGGTTCGGTTCGTTAAAAGCCCAGACTGGAGTCCATGTCCTCTTTAGAAAACTGAAGAAAACCTCGGACCGGTTCTGCAGAACTAACTCCGGAGCCAGAACTGGACCTCCGGACGGGACGTGGTGAGATCAGAACCAGCTCAGAGACTGGCTTCAAAAAACAAACAAATAAATAAAAACATTTAAAAAATAAAATAATTAAAAAAACGTGTTTTTAAGCTCCAAACTGTCCAGGTCCTCTCTGTCCTCCTGTGAGACTCGGACCAGCTGCTCCGGTTCTGTCCCGCTCCGTGGACCCGACCTGAGAACTGGGTCTGGCTCCTCTCCGGGTCTGATCAGGACCGCGCAGGAAGCGGCTGCTTCTGGTTCTGACGCTCCGCTGCCATGCTCCCCCTCCAGGACCAGACCCCTCCTCCCCCTCCTCCCCCACCAGGACCCCCCTCTCCTCCTCCTCCCCCCCCCCCCCCCCACCACCAGGACCAGCCTCCTCCCCCCTCAGGACCGGTCGCTGGAAGAAACGTCTCGACTTTGAGCCTCCAGCTCTTCTCCAAGTTGAAATGTGTTCCGAGTCGGTTCGGACCTCCACGGACCAGGATGTTGAACTAAAAACCCAAAGTCCGGTTCGAGCCCAGCCGGCGGTTCCGCTGCTTGATGCAGATATTTCAGTTTCACTGAAGTTCTCCGTCTCAGGACGCTTGTTGTATGGAAAGACGTTTCCATATTTATTACACTTATTTACTTTGACAAGCCTTTATTACGTTCCTTTTTATCTTGTATGGCAAACTGTTCCCAATTTATTCCAAATTTATTTATTTCATTGTACGGCAAGCCATTTCTTATTTATGCTAAACTGTTTCCATTTCTGAAGCAGTTTTTATTCATTCTATATTTCCATACATCAGAGTAGGGCAAGCTATTTATCAATATTCCTTTATCAGTGTATGGCAAGCAGTTTTTCACATTTATTCCATATTTCTTTGTCTCAAAATATAGAAATTATTTGCCTATTTATTCCAAACTCCTTTATGTTTGGGTACGGCAAGCTATTTTTCATATTTATTCCATATTTTTTCATCTCTGTGTAAATAAAGCCTTTTTTATTTGTTCCACATTTCCATACCTCAGTGTATGACAAGCAGTTTTCATATTTATTCTGCATTTCTTTATCTCTGTGTATGGAAAGCTATTTTCCTACTTATCACAAACTTTTTTAATCTCAGTGTATGGCAAGCTATTTCATATTTATTCTATAGTCCTTTATCTCAGTTTATGGCAAGACATTTAACCATTTATTCCATACCCCTTAATCTCAACCTCCATTTTCTCTCACTAGCTGGTGACTAAGCTGCATTAGTTGAACTAGTGACAACTTTTGTTTTGCTATTGTCACGATGGTCTAACTAGTAAAGGTCAGCCAACCAAAACAATTAGTTTGCATAAATTTAGTCAGTCATATTACTATCCTACTAACAGTTACTCTACTAGTTAACTAGTAAGGTGCAAAAAATTCCAGTAACTAGTAATCCCCAGTGCAGTCACTACTTGCATCAGACTGTAACCCAGTAGTTAACTAGCATGTCTAAAATTTTAACTAGTTGCATCAGTGAGAACCTTGGTGGAAACTAGTAAGACCTGCAATAGTCCAGTAACTAGCTAAAGTAATATTCACTACTGCCATGCCATCACTGAGTTAAACCTCACTTCTTAACTATTAAAGCCTTAAATACTGACTAATTGTTCCAGTGAGGTTGATCCAGACACAACTAGTTGATATTTAACTAAACTAGTAAACTTGTAAGGTAGTAATCAACCAGTGAAGTGATCAGTTCATACTTGTTGACTAGTTACATTTTTTGGACATGCGAGTCTACCCGTCTGCCCATCAGGCAGTCACTAGTCAACTAGTTGGACACATTCAGTTTTTACAACTCTCAGTAACTCACCTGGCGGTCACAGCTGTGTTCTGGTTTAATCCGGTGGATTACTAGATGGTTAAAAAGCTGACTAGTGTCTCTTTTTGGTTACTCGTGCAGCACTTTGTATGACGGGATCAAAGGTTCCACTAACTGGAAACAAATACTGTCAACAGTAAAAATGTTTAGTTAACTGAAGCAACTAAATGTGCAACTAGTTCGGTCAAACTCGTGGGAGAAAATGATGCTTCTCATCAAGGATAGGGAATAAATACGCAAAGGGCTTGCCGTACCACAGAATATCAGCGGAGTTCCTTGTAGTTTGGTGGGAAAGCAGGATTTAGTTTTATCAAAATAAAAGCAGACAGCCTGTAGGTTCCTGTGATGGACTGAAGTGGTTCAAGTTCATGACTCGGTGCGCCCCCCAGTGGTCCTCATTGGAAAAACAGTCACTTTCCAAGCAGGAGGTTTAAAAGAGAAGAGGTTTAAAATGCACCTCCTGGATGAAATGATAGCTTAGAATCAGTCCGAGATGAACAGAGCCGTGCCTTATTGTTGAACCGGTTCTAAACCCATCAGAACCTCAAAAGGAACCCGTCTGAGGTCTCAACAGGACCGTGAACTCCAGAGATGTTTGTGAACAGAGGAGCTTCTGTTCCAAACACCCGGCCTCCTTCCACCTGACAGGACCTGCTGAACGTTATCCAGTCTGCTTCCATCTTCCTCTCCATCTGTTTGGCTCCTGGTGCCATATTTCTGAGATTTGTCTCGAAACGGCAGCTTTCCCAAAGAAAAACATCTTCTGTGGTGCCAGAGCTGATGTTTCATCTGTGAAACTGCAGCTGCTCCAGAGAAAACATGCAAAAATAATCAAATTCTCCACATAAATCAACTCACGTGTACCCAGCTTCACGTGTAAGAAGAGCTCCTGTTGAGGGTTCAGCTGCTTCATCCAAACTCTGGGATCGCCGGTTCAGACTTCTTTATCAGACACTGTCTGGTGGTTTTATTCAGAATTCGTTTTCATTTCAAAATCTGGCTTCCAGAACATTTTTCTCTCGCACAGAAAACCGACGTGTCGTCAGCTGGTTTGGTTTCATTCCTGACTTCATGGTCGAGGAGCAGAACCTTCAGTCTAGATGTTTCATCTGCAGGAATCGGCCCGGCCCGGGAACCTCCCTCACTCGCTGCCCAGTTTACACGGCACCCGACCTCGACGGTCCTCCTCGAAGGTGGCGGGTTCATTTGATGGATGAGTCCTGTCTCTTTTTTTTTTTTTTGGCTTGGGCAAGCCGAGCTCCTGGAGTCAAGGTTCGACCACCAGGCGAGTCCCCCTCTACCCCACCCAGGACTGGCTCCAGAAGTTGCCCTGGTTTTTTTTCCAAGCAAGGTTTTTGATGCATGTATTGTACATCCAACAAGGTTTTTGAACCGCTCTTGGTCCGACGCCGTCCCCTGAGGCTTGTTCGCCATTTGGAAGCCCTGCCAGTGGCAGATGACCCAGACAACATGGCCCCCAGGATCATGGGGTACTCTGACTCCTCCACCACGTTCAGGTGGTGATTCTGCGGACAGGTTCAGAAGTCTGATTAGGACGCCTCCCTTTGGAGGGTTTCTGGCCACAATCCAATGGGAAAAGACCCCCAGGGAAGACCCAGAGCTCACTGGAGGGATTATACTGTATATCCTCTCTGGTCTGGGAACACCTTGAGGTTCCCTATAGGAGGTGGAGAATATCTCTAAAGAAAGAATACAAGTGTTGCCTTTACGACCCAACTGCAGATAAGTGGTAGAAGACTGAGAACAGTTTCCCCGAGGTCAACTGCTTTGGCAGGGCGCTCATTTCTTAGTGGATTTTTGTAGAAAGACAGAGACACGTCTGTGTTGCTAGCTTCTTAGCACAAGCTTAGCTCTACATCAGTGGCGGCAGTTGTCGACAGGGGTGGGGGCGGGAGACTGCGTGAGAAAAGTGGCGCACTATGTCTAGCTTTTTGGCTAGCACGTCTGTATAGCATGCAGCTAGCTTTGCGCTACGGTAGTGTCAACATTTGTTGACTGGGGGGAGTTGTGAAAGACATCTTGGTAGGCTGGGAGCTTGGTTCTTTGACGGGACGGGTCGCCCTCCTTGGATAATGCTAGGAGAAACACTGGAGATGATCCAAGATGGCAGCCAGTGCTTGTTGACTTCAGCAAACTGAAAAGTGGCTACAAATCAATCAGTTTTACAGACATTGAACTAAAAGTAAGTGTGGAAGTAAAAGTCCACCTGGCCTGCAAGGTGGCGGGTGATGTGCAAACCTTCAAGGAATGCTAGTTTCTTTCCTTTCTGTGTATCAGTAAATACGAGCGTGTGGCGTCACTGTTTCAGAGGAAACCAGCAGGTTGATGGGTCTGCACGCTCGGCAGCTCGTCTCTTCATGTGTGTCTGTGTCGAGGAGCTGATTCATCTCACCCAGGCAGGACTAATCCATGAGCTATAATCACCTCATCTCCCCGGCTAAAGTAGCTGTCCTACTTCATTTAGGCCCGATGCACATCTGTGTTCCCCGAGACAATAGAGTCATTATAATTCAGGGTCAGTGTGGCTGTCAGAACACACAGCAGCCAGGACTTGTCCACAGAGGAATTAGTTTTACCAAAAACCAATTCTGTATTTGTTGTTTCTAAAAATATATTTGCAAACAAGACGCTGTTTCCAGAAAAGTTTCCATCCACACAAAAGAAAAACAGAAAACAACTCAAACTGGTGCAGTAACTATGCCAGGCCTGTGTGTGGCGCTGTCACGAAGACGCAGCAGAAACAGGAGAACACGTAATCCGTCTTTATTGTTGTTCCTGTCGACGACGCGCATCAACACTGGTTGACGTGGCGGTGTGGTTGTAGGTTTGACAGAAGAAGAATCATTGTTTTCAAAAGGTTTCGAGGTGTTTAGTCAGCACAAAAACATGAATAACATTTAAAGATGTTTTTACTCTAGAACCCTTTTATTAAAAATACAGTTGAAACTGCAGGCAAAAAGTAAGAATT